CAGCAAAAAAAGGAAGACCCTCCGTGAGATGGATTGACACAGTGGCTGTAACAGTCGGGCTCAAGTTTGACAGCAGTTGGGAGGATGGCACAGGAATGGGCAGTGCTTCGTTCTGTTTCATAGGGTCAGTCTCAGTCGGAACCAACTCAAAGGCATCTAACAATAATATTTCTCCTGTCTGAGTCAATTCTCCTTTTCCCATTTCCAAATAATCTCTTTATTAGATTGTCATCCTTTTGCTTAAAACAAACAAAAAACTAAGATTCATGTTGAATTTAGGATAATATCCCAAATCTTACCCCAAAGCTTCCTCTCCTATTCTAGCCTCACCTCTTTCCTTGCTGCTCTTAAAGAAGACTGCACCTCTTTCCTGCTCCTTCATAGCACAATTAGCAGCATGCGTCCTACGACCTCTTCTTCACACCTTCCTACCTTTTTCCCCCTCACCCCCTTCCTTAGCTCTTGTTGGTCTGCACCATCCTGTCCATTCTGACTTCTAGCGACAGTGCCGTGTGTAACAGCCACACCTCCCAGCCCTGCAGCATCCGCACCATTACTGCTCTATGAGTCCATTGTTGCTGCCAAGTGTCGGAACATCTCCTTGAGAGTCTTTCTCTCTTACACTGAACCTGCACTTTGACTACACGTGGCATATAGCCTCAGGCTGGTTCCTTTTGGTACACGCCTGTTGTCAGGAGACTTTGAATCCATTCAAATAACAGTGACCCTGGGCCCTGTGTACAACAGAAAGAAATACCACCTGGTCCTGCTCCATCTTCACCATTGTTCTTGTGTTTGAGCTCAGTGTTGCAGCCATTGTGTCAATCCATCTTGTAAAGGATCTTCCTCTTATGGAGCGGAGCACACCAGGGCCCACCAAGCTCAGAGGACGATAGCCCAGCTCGGAGGGCCCAGTGTACAGAGAGGACCATATAGCCAGCCCCATGGCAAAATGCAACATCCTGCACTGACCCATGGCCCTACACTGGACAGCACCGGAGACACAGTATGGGATGTGCGACTGAGCTGACCCCACCACACTGAGGCAAAACACTGGGGGCGTGCAATGGAGCAGCAGGGGAAGCAGAGCAAGGAGGACCTGAGGGAGTACAAAGGATGGACTTTGGGGCCAGGACGTGGCACCCCATTAGACTCATCCGGGAACACTCCTAAAGGTCAACAAACAGACTTTGAACTACTAACAGGCTTTTTTATTTATTTATCTTTTTTTTTCTGCCTACTTGTTTTGTTTTTTTCCTTTTTTCCTCTTCTTTTAAACTTTGTATGTCAGTGGCTTTTTTGTTTGTTAGCTTGTCGGTGTTGCTGCCGTCGCCGCCATGTTCTTATGTGCCACTTTGTTTGGTGCTGTCAAAGCCATCCCCGATTTTATGCACATATTATTATCTCTGCAGGTCCACCTAGATAAGAGAGGCTGGACAAGCAATGTGAGAAGAAAATAAAGGGACCAACTGTCCCGGAGGGACTTGAGAGTGTGGGAGGTAGGGGAAGGGAGGAGGTGTTGGCCAACCCAGGGACAAGCGAACGAGTCTTTCAAAACCAATGGCAGGGAGGCGATGGGAGGACTGGTAGGGCGTGACCATGGGCAAGGTAACTGAGAGGAATTACTGAAACTAGAATGAAGGCTGAACATGGTAGTAGGACAGGAGGAAAGCGTAAGGAAATAGAGGAAAGGAGTAGGAGGCAAAGGGCATACATAGAAGCCTAAATACAGACATGTACATATGTAAATATATTTATGATTGTGGGGGAAATAGACCTATGTGCATATATTTATAGGTTTAGTAGTAGGGTGGCATGTGGACATTGGGCCTCCTCATGCGCATTCCCTTAAACAAGAGCACTTTGCTCAGCTAAACGGTCATTTCATGATACCCAACTTCCCGACATGATCGCTGAAGACAGACGTGTGCATAAGCAAATGTGGTGAACAAAGCTGATGGTGCCCTGCTATCAAAAGATATAGGGTCTGGGGTCTTAAAGGCTTGAAGGCAAACAAGCAGCCATCTAGCTCAGAAGCAACAAAGCCCACAGAGAAGAAGCACACAAGCCTGTGTGAACACAGGGTGTTGAAGGGATCAGGTA